AACATTTACTTGATTGTTATTAATAAAACTTCCTAATATTTGCTGGTACATGGTGAGTTTTGCTAACTTCCTTTCGGTGTATTTCACTATGATGAAGCTAACGCTCACTCGCCGGGTCGCTAACTCACATTAGTAGACCTAAAACTACAAATATATTTCGCAAGGTTGTAAGTAAAATTTCCCCTGCAGACACCCAGACTGAGTTTTAACTGAGTGCGGGGCACGGTATGTTTGTGGGTCCCGGTTTATAACCCATGCTCGGTTGCTGTGGGGCCATGTTAGCTTCCTAAATGAGGAGGACGCAGCGCCGACAGCATCTGGATTAATCCTCTCCGGATTGTTGGTGGACAAGCTCGATTAACACCGGGACGAACACGAAACGCTTGTACTCTAATCAGTATGACCCCATTTTTACATAAACCCCTGTCTGTGTGAGTAAAACGGCGTTAAAACAGCGCTAACCTTCCTCTTCTTGGAGATTTGCACCGCCATCTTCCGATAGGCCGTAGACAGGAAAGGACCCGCAGAGGACGCGGAAATGGCTTTATACCAAAATTGATAACTTCCGGTGACGCAAAGTCCAGGGCTGCCGCTGGGACTTGTAGTTTTTAACAGTAGATGCATAGGTGTCATGTCCCCATAACTTTTTGAAAACATTTGAATGACAGAAAGATTATTAAGCACAACTTATTAAAAATATTCTTTAAATTCACTTTTTCACCTATAAAATAAAAGTTACTCAGGATTGTAAATTAAGATTTCTTGTTTTGTTGTTCAGTAGCCTACAATAAGAATCTTGTGCATAAATGTATTAATAAGATACCGCTAAATTAATCGTTTCCTCTGTAAATGTGACAGTTAATCATGATTTTCCATCAGTGTATGTGGAGCTTCAGTCTGGTAAATAGAAATTATGCTGTTTGTTTTGATTTAAAGCACAAGGTTCAAGGTGCACATTTTTTTCTCCTATTACAAAAAAGTTGTAAAAGGAGAAGCAGTTTGTTGTTCCCTTTATGCTGCAAAGCAAACATTTAAGTAATTAGGCTTAACAGTCAACCATGTTTAAATTAGTGTATAGTAATTGAAAAATTAAAAACTGGACAAAGTTGAATATAAATGTATCTCATAACATGCAAATTGACGCCTTTTTGTCCACACACACGTAAAATAAAATAAAAAGACTCAGATTATACAAAGGTTCTATCTTTTACAGTTTGGTGGGTACAAAAAATCAAGACTCAGATTTAAAGTTACATTTACTGTTTTAAATAAAGATTTTAAATGAACCAGATATAATAGGGCCTGTTTCACTTTGAAATATAGGAGCCTGTTTTAAATACTGTTGATGTAAGGACATTAATGTTTTCTGTTAAATTCAAATCAGAAGAACATTGGATTTGTTAAATGAATACAGGGGATATTTCTGCAGCAGTCCTGGGAGGGTGTATGTAAAAATGGGATGTATGTATGAGAAATATAAATCAATTTAAAAAAAAATAACTGTCTTTGGCACAGCACATCATTACATCTGATGAAGATGATGATTATTAATACTACTACAAAGAGGTAGTCATATGTTAGGCTAATGTTAATATCTACTAATTATTTACTTGTTATATGTTGTAAAACAATATATTCACCTGCACTATGTACTGTATTAAAATAGCCCTGCAAAAAAAGCTACTTTTGTTTTATTCACCTTCATTTACATACTTAGCTGTGGACAGAACATTTAAAAAAACACAAAAAGGTTTCACCAGAATTGTTTGGTATGCTTTTGTCTCTGCCCTAACAACTAGAGGGTCTGACGGTTGTTCTGTGCCCTCCAGTGGTCACATCGTGGGACTGCATCACCACACTATATGCGTGGTGGACTGTGTAAATTTGGCAGAATCTTCATGATAAAATCTTGTGTTTTCAAGGCTGCTATTGCAAATGCCAAACTTAAATTTCATGCCATCCACACACTGCAAACACATGTTTCACATTTGTTCAACAGGTGAGATTGTCTGTTTTGGAGCATTATATGCCTTCATGGGAGAGAGAGAGGAGGATGAGGATGTGGAAGAGCAAGACGAAGGAGAGCCATAATCTTTGATGAGATTTAGGCCACAACGAGGGAAGCTGGGCAGAGAGTACAACCGAAGTGGAGCAGGTTCACAGCAGCATCCATCGTCCTGACTTGGAAAATGAGAAAATGAAGAAAGAAAGAAAGAAAGAAAGCTACTCTCATAAAAGTACAGTACTGTAATACTACACATTAATACAATACTCAATGACTACTGCACTGCAGTACAGCAAGTGGATATTACCTTTACCTTTACTATTAAACATATGTTTTACAATTGGACGAGACTGGAAACTACACTCACCTAAAGGATTATAAGGAACACCATACTAATACTGTGTTTGACCCCCTTTCGCCTTTAGAACTGCCTTAATTCTACGTGGCATTGATTCAACAAGGTGCTGAAAGCATTCTTTAGAAATGTTGGCCCATATTGATGGATAGCATCTTGCAGTTGATGGAGATTTGTGGGATGCACATCCAGGGCACGAAGCTCCCGTTCCACCACATCCCAAAGATGCTCTATTGGGTTGAGATCTGGTGACTGTGGGGGCCATTTTAGTACAGTGAACTCATTGTCATGTTCAAGAAACCAATTTGAAATGATTGGAGCTTTGTGACATGGTGCATTATCCTGCTGGAAGTAGCCATCAGAGGAGGGGTACACGGTGGCCATAAAAGGATGGACATGGTCAGAAACAATGCTCAGGTAGGCCGTGGCATATAAACCATGCCCAATTGGCACTAAGGGGCCTAAAGTGTGCCAAGAAAACATCCCCCACACCATTACACCACCACCACCAGCCTGCACAGTGGTAACAAGGCCTGATGGATCCATGTTCTCATTCTGTTTACGCCAAATTCTGACTCTACCATCTGAATGTCTCAACAGAAATCGAGACTCATCAGACCAGGCAACATTTTTCCAGTCTTCAACTGTCCAATTTTGGTGAGCTTTTGCAAATTGTAGCCTCTTTTTCCTATTTGTAGTGGAGATGAGTGGTACCCGGTGGGGGCTTCTGCTGTTGTAGCCCATCCGCCCCTGTATATATTCCTACCTACACATTATTTACAGCTTGAAGATGGAAGGTCTTTGTCCACAATCCTCATACGTGAGGCCTTGATCTTCTGTATGTGCAGAAATATCTGTCGTTTTTCAAAGCTCACCAGTTCACCATACACGCTCATACTGCAGCTAGAGTGCTGAGATCCGCCAATCTCCAGAAGCAGATTTAAAACCAGAGGCGATCGAACCTTTAGTGTAGCTGCCCCTAACCTGTGGAACAACCTGCCAGTCCATATCAGAACGGCCCCAACTCTCAAACGTTTTAAATCACTGTTAAAAACACATTTCTTTTCGTTGGCAATTCCTTCGAGTTAAGTCTGTTATTATTCCTGGCAATTTTAATATCACTATATATTGTATACTGTATATTATAATGTTTTATTGCTGTGTGAGGCCAACCTTGGTTGTTTTAAGTGTGCTATATAAAAAAAACTGATATTGATTGATATTGATATTGATACAAGGTGATACTTCTCCTCCTGCTCGGCCAGGCTTTCCATGTTGATGGGGTGCTGTGGCTCAACCATAAATTTTTCTTTCCAGCAGAAGGCTTCTTATATTCTTTTTTTTTTTTGTGGTTTGTTCTGTATGAAGAACACATCCAGCTCTGTTGGCTGAGACACAGTATGTCAGAAAAAAACCTTCTATTCTTGTATTTGTGTGTTTTATATTTGAGGATTAACAGGGTGAGGAGATCACATCATGTCTGCTTTGATGATGGTAGAGCTGGAAAATAATTTAGTGTTTACTGCCCTGCAGTGGTCACAAAGAGGAACTACCTCAAGGCAGCACATGTCAAGTCAGTGGTAACGCAGTAAGAAAACACATAAGTAATGTTTTGGACTATAACATACTTTCTGCAGCAAAATTCATTTGATTTTCTGTTGTGAGTGATTAAAAGTGGAAAAGGGCGTGTACTATTCTTTACAAATACTGTATTAATAATAAGATAGTAGTAAGTATTGTTTAAGATATTTGTTCAAATTTTCAGTGTCAAATATTTAAATTCAAAATTGATTATACATTGATTTTTGCAAGTTGAAAAGATAAATTAAATTTTATATATTTTACCACTGTGAATATACAAATGTATTTTGGAAAGAATTGGAGCATTTTATTAACAGAAAAACGGGAAAGAGTGTATCAATGTATGTATTTGATTTCATATTTTATGTTGTACTTCATGGTCCTTACAAAGTGGTAAGGTAAATAATAAGGTAAGGCTATATTGTGCAGCTCCTCATCATACTTGGAAAGTTCCACACCAAAAAATTAAAGTGGACTGGATCTAAACCCTGCTTCAATCGATTTACTGTTGAACTGAAACACAACTGCACCTCAGCAGAACACTTAAAAAATAAAGAACTGAATTTGAGCTTCTGGCAATGTAAGACGTATCTGATTATTTGTATCTTTACAATTTTTGTTGATATAATGAACTTTACATCAATAAATTAAAATAACACAGTAAGACACCACACTGACATCTCAGACACCAATATTTAAAAAATAAATCTAACGTAACAAACTGAAGCAATCAGAAAAAAAATAGAGAGAAATATTGATAAAATGATTATGTAATTGCTCTTTAGTGGTCACAGCTAGATCCTCCAACTCCACAACCTTTAATCATAATAATAGAGATATGCATTCTTGTTTGGAGGTAGTCATGTTAATATTAGGTAATAATATCTGTACGAATTCCAATCGAACAGCAGTCAGGTGCAAAAATATATTACCAAAATGTGAAGCTCATAAGGAGTTGCAATTCGTTATGATACACTTGAAAAAATGCCATTAATGGTAAGAATCTGCCCTTTTGAGCAAGGAATTCAAAAGTCTATCAAAATAAAAGCCACAAAACTCAGAACAAAGTTTTTTATTTTTTGCTTGCACCACGTGTTGAGTGTTTTTACCAGATGGAATTTGCAAACCATTTATATTATATTCTTCTGTGAAGTTCACCTTGTACATCTTGATATAATATCTGCACGTCTTGCCCTGTTTCATATACTGACTGATATGAATAAGATATTGAAAGTGTTGTCTGATTGTATAAATAGAATAAACCAACACCTATTTGATTAATATTCCCCCTGAGTGCACAATAAAAAAAACATTTAAGAAAATAAAAAACAAGAGATGTTCTATCAAAACAACCCAACACCAGTTTGACTGATATTCCCTTGCGAGCACAAATAAATACATGATTCAGTAAAATAGTCTGACATTACTCTTACTTGACATATTATTACTAACATACTACAGACCAATGCAACTGATTGTCATTTATATTTAATTCATATACTTTTAATAAGTTGGTGCAATTTTAAAGTTAGTTCCATAATTTCTATTGTGTAATAAAGGGTTGAAATACCTGCAACTAGAATAGAAAAAACCTGTTTGAGGACCTTAACCTTTGACAAGTTCAGTTCATTGTGGATGTTTGCGCCAAGTTTGAAGAAATGCCCTCTATTGTCAGCATGGTGAACATGGTAAACATTATACCTGATTAACATACACATGTAGCATTGTCTTAGTGAACATTTTAGCATGCATTAGCATTTAGCTCAAAGCACCACGGTGCCTGAGTACAGCCTCACAGCAGAAGGGTCCAGCTTTGGCCTGTAGACCAGGGAGCCCATTGTGTATAATCTCACAATGGACCAATGGAGGACTATGAGGTCGCTGTTGGATCTAGGTCAAAGTTCATTACAAAAGAAGATGGCACTTGAGATTGTAATCCACCTTTTAGTTTTAGTCTTTATGCTTATGTTATGACTCCCCGTATTGTTATTTGTATTGTAAAGAATTTGTTTAATTTTATGCTGCCATCAAGTACAATGTTTACACATGGGTGGTAGAAATTGTGCATTCATGTTGTGTTGGAATAATTGGAAATTTGTTTTCCCTAACTGGGAAATTCAAGTGAACGCCCTCTGAAGTCAGAACAATTCAGAAAGTCAAAGAGATTTTTGGCACACACACTCTACTGCCTGCTGTTCTCTTGTAGAAATCCACTCTCTTTGAGCACAGTATTGACAGTTTGTATGAGGCGGGTGCTGTAGCTCAGCAGTCGGTCATCGTAAATCAGCTGGTCTGGTTTCAGTTCGGTTTGTATCGCAGCTCTGCACAGACAGAAAGCAGAAATCCAACTGTTATACAAACTGAGCTACAAGCACCAGAGTGCTCAAATCTGCATTTGAGAGATTTCTTTTAATAATAACCTCAATTTCCCTCATAGAAACAGAGGGGACTCTTTGATAATTTAACAATGCGATTTTTCAATCCAGTTTTGTTTATCCAAAACTGATCCAGAAAAAATTGGATTGATTTAAATTGCTGAATGTCTTTAATCAGGTTTCTACTCTTTCTAAGTATAATCTTTATCTTCAGCTCGCTGAATTCTAGGCTGGGTGGCAGGATGGGGGCAGAATTAAAAAACAATTACCAACATTATGATGGAATTCTGTGTAATTCTATGAATTAGTATTGATTGAAACTACACTGCTGACTGAAGCCACTGCTGATGGTGACAAGCAGGGATTAACCTGTGACTTTCTGTAGATATGAATAGGTCCAACACAGGTCCTGTTTAAAAGGGGTATAGTATAAGGTGTGTCGTATTGTTCAACTCTAGATTATTATACAAGATGTAAACAAAAAATTTTATTCAAAATTAAACTTTTAACATTGTGTCAATAAAAGAGAGATACCAGAACCATCCAATAAGCTCACTTCGAACGTTGTGTAGGGCCCCACATGTTAAAAAGGGCTCCACCTCACTCTCGTGTCAAAGGTTGAAGTGAGTGTCAATGTTTACAACTTTGATGAGAGGATAAAGAGGAATCTAGCCTATCCTTCTGGACACAAGAAGAGAAAAAACTCACTGACAGATAACAGTGATGTTAAGTTAATAAGCATCTGCAGTGCATCTCTCTGGTCTGTCTTGCTAACCCAGCTTGGCAGCACATCTCTTGGTCTGTCTGTGTTTTGGTTGCTTGCCAGATTTTGTGCCTAAACAACATTACAATAAAATACAACTATTAATTAAGTTTGATGAACGCAGACGGGAAACAGTGTTTATAAACTATGTCCATACGATTGTCAGCCAGTCCAAGCACAGTGGATCCACATTCAGCCTCAGCCAGTACTAGCTTGGACCCAGTACAGACACCTTCAGCAGGTCACACAGACCCAGGTGAAGTACAGGTTTACTAAGAAAATAGTGCAGAGCAAAATGTGTGCTGTGATTCTTACAGAAACTCATGGTGTAGGTGGTATTGACACAGTTGATGTTTCAATAGAATAAATGCAGCTGAATGCATTAAATGAACATCTTATTAAAAGAACAGTGCTGTAGTTACTTACAAATACAAAAATTGTCAAGTTCAAATTCAAGTTTGATGGAAAAAACTTTTAAAAGCAGCTCTCTGGATCTTTGTGGGCTACGGCTACCAGATGTCATTCAGATTTCTGTAGAATAAATGTAAAGTCATTTTTCCTCTCTTCCTGCAACCTCTCTCATGGTTGTGAAAATTCAATTTCACTATGTTTACACCTGCTTTTTAGATAATTTCCCCAACAAAACGCACCATCTCAGACTGTGGGACTTCAGTGAATCCAACAAAATACATAATACATACTTTTATTTGTATGGTCCTCACTTAAAAGCATGTAAGGAGAGTGGCACCCATTGAAAACACTTCCTATAACATCTCTTGGGTCTGTTTGATAAACACATTTACTCCTTCAGGAGAAGTCTGTTTTAGTAATTGTTTTTCCTTGCAGCTACATGAACCAATGATGTGGAGGAATTGTGTCACATTCTCCTAACACATAAAAGAACAATCACAACTGATCTGATCTGAACTGATTAGGAAGTAAACAACCACTTACCTTGTGTGGTACATCCGTGCTATATTCCTGTCAACCAAGGTGCAGCCTTTCTGTGAGATCAGCAGTTCGTGGACGGATGTGGAGAACACAGCTCGTGGATTGACAATGATCTTGGTGTTACCGTAAAGAGGGGGTTCCTGGTACAAGTGAGCCAGGATGTTCACCCCGGGCACATTCTGCCAGCTGGGGCTCTGCTGGGGCAGAGTTTGGGAGGTGGGAGGAGGCAACTTGATGGTGTTGGGGAACACGTTATTCTCAAACAAGTAACACAGGTCAGCCCCATATTTATTTTCCAGCAGAGGCAAAAGCGCCGTCCAACTGGTAAAAAAAGAAAAAATATACTGTTACTACAATTTTTAAACACTACCCAGATACAAGCAGCTTAACAGAAATAAATGCTTTAACACACAATAACACAGTATAATGGAGTTGGAAGCACACACACAGATATATACATATAGCCACTCTCCCAGTTTGGGGGTCACAGCCCCCAGTGCTCCAATTACTGCTGGCACCACTGTTGCTTTTACTTTCCACATCTTTTCTAGCTCCTCTTTCAGCCCTTGGTGTTTCTCAAGTTTCTCGTGTTCCTTCTTCTTGATGTTGCTGTCGCTTGGGATTACCACATCTATCACTGCAGCCTTCTTCTGCTGTTTGTCGATCAACACGATGTCTGGTTGGTTAGCCATCACCAGTTTATCAGTCTGGATCTTGAAGTCCCACAGGATCTTATCTCATTCTCAACGCTCAGCCCATACTCATGGCAGATTTTCCTGTACACTATGACAGCTACCTGGTTATGGCGTTCCATGTACGCTGTTCCTGCCTGCATCTTACACCCTGCTGTTATGTGCTGTACTGTCTCAGGGGCATCCTTGCACAGTCTGCACCTGGGGTCCTGCCTGGTGTGGTGGGAGTTAGAACACTGAGCTAGGAGTTATTTCTTTATCAGTGTTGATGATGGGTTTCATCAGGTTGCCCTGGTTCCTTAGCACCTGACGCAGACCTTACTGGTACTGTGTTTGCGGTTTCACTCATGCCTGAGGTAGGCAATTAAGGATCTTGCCTGGATACCCCCGCCCTGACAGGGAATCGAACCTACAGGTAATCGTGGGTGTGATTCCCGGTCAATGTGGGATCACCTGTACCAAAGTCTGTTGCATTAACCACTGAGCTAACCGCTAGCTAGCTAGCTAGCTAGCTAGATAGCTAGCTAGATAGATAGATATACTGTATACACACACACACACACACACACAAGTGTTGCATTTGTAAACATCATTAACTCCTCCTATGAAGCATCGATTAGTGCTTTATAAACATTATAAATGAGTGTGAGATCAAAGATTGTATTTCATCAGTCAGCGTACTATAAAAAACATGATAACTTTATTGCAAACCAAGCATCATTTACCAGAGGTCGATTTATCAAAAGACTCCCATTAAATAAGTGCTACCTGTCGACTGTCTGGGGCAGAATGAGTTCGTCCATGTCCTGCAGGGCCACATATCTGGACTGGTACATGTATCTGTAAACACAGTCATTGAGAGCAGCAATCTGGCCAAAGTAGTGGAGGTCACCTGGGCCGTGTTGAGGAAGCCAGCCTCGAGATACATTCAGAAATCTGGACAGAGGCCAAGGAATCACCTCTACTAAACCTGAAAAGAAGACATTGAAAGAATTAGATCAGAAGGACATGTGTTAGCAGCCAAGAGGTTTTAATTCAGTCAGGACAACTTTAATCTATGAAACTTTTATTTGCTTTGCAGTAAGTTATGTTTGGTGGTATGACTCTGTTCCGGGACCTCTACCTTATAAGGCGCCTTGTATGGAATTTGCCAATAAACACTAAGGAGAATCACCTGAGCTGCCAATTGATGTTGACTGGCTTTGAGATCAGCTGCTATCAACTGGGCCCTGTTTCAGAAAGCAGGTTTAAAAAAGTCTGAGCTTATCCCTGAGCTGAGTTGAATGAGCCTGAGATGGGAAACTGAGTTTTTGGTTCCAGAACAGCTGATGCAATATAATGTACATAACTATGTTTTCAGTGGTGTATAAAGACCTCTGCACGGATCGGCTACAGCTGGCCAAACGGCCTTCATGCAGCTTGGCTCTGATGTCGCAGGCAGGCCATTTCCTCCACTCGTCGGGGGAGCGGCATGGTTATGAGCCCACGAGTGTGCCTGCCCCACCTCATGCGGACCCCCTGGTGACTGTCTGCCTCCGCCTCCCTCCCCCCACCGGGGATGCGGTACGGCTGTGGTCCCCCCAAGTGGCAGAGCGCAGATGGCCCCGGTGGAGCAATGCTCCCATGCTGACTCCAGCATGGTGGCGCATGTTTCCCCCTGTCTCTCTACTGACTCTACAGAGACAGTGGCGGGCCGAGGAGGAAATATTCTGCTTGTGACATCGGAGCCAGACTGCATGAAGGCCACGCAGCCGGTCCGTGTTATATGTTATGGGAGAGAGCATGTGCAGCTTTGCAGCAAGCCCAGGCTGCTTGTTCGGCTAACATACAGCTGGCTCACACAATGTGGGGAAGTGAGAAACAGCAATGATAATTTTTTTTATGTAAAGTGCAACAGTAAGGTCATGCAGTTTACAAGAAACACATTTCTCCCCAGCATCACTGTCGCCTGCAGTGCGTAATGTGTTCGGCACACACGAAGATTCTGAAGTGATTATGAATGAGAGCGCAAGCAGCAGAATGTGACGGTGAAAGTGAGGAAAATATTTAAGTTACTTCGTAAGTTGTCAGTCTGGCGAACATGTGCAGTGTAGGTCACAGTGTGTCTGTTAAGTCTGTTGTTGGGGATCACAGAAAGGACTCGTGAGCGGAAGTAGGCAGACACACAGGCAGGACTTTATTTAAAGAGCTCAGAGACGGAGTTTGGAGGGCTGGCGGAGAGTTTCCAGTCTCGGGGGGATCCGATCGCACGGTGTCAGGACGGGCAGGCAGACTGGAAAGCTGTGAGCAACGGACTGGCGATCCAGAATACAGGCAGGCTGGCAGCGACTCCGCACCAGGGTGGGACTGTGGCAGACAGGAAACAAGAGGTTAAGCAAAGTCAAAAGGTATTTAGGCAAACTAGGAAATTGGCCGGAGCGATATACCACTGTGGGTAAACGGACAAACTAGCGACGAGTGGAGACTGAACCAGAGCTTAAGACTGCAGGCGTTGATGAGTTGATGAGTCCCAGGTGCGGAGTGCTGCAGGTGGAGAGAGGCCAGGCTCGGACACGCCCAATCACACAGACATGGGCCAAGACACACAAGACTGACAGAAACAACAGGGGCGGGGAAACTGAGAACAAGAGGGGAGAGAGACCAACCCACGACAGTCCCCCCCCCCCCCCCAAAGGGAGCCTCCTGGCGACCCTACCAAGATGGGCCCGATGGAAGTCCCTGATCAGGTCGGCATCGAGGACGGAGGAATGAGGGACCCACTGCCTCTCCTCAGGACCGTAACCCTCCCAATGAACAAGGTACTGGAGTACTGGAGGTTGGACAGGGCATCGTGAGATCCTTCTCCTGGGCCGGGAACAGGGGGGCTGGTAACCCAGAGAGGCCTCGAAAGGCAACAGCCCCGTGGCAGCACTGACGAGGGAATTATGGGCATATTCGATCCAGGCCAGGTGAGAGCTCCAGGTATGGGTGTTCTGGGTGACAACGCATCGGAGGGCAGACTCCAGGTCCTGGTTGGCCCTCTCAGCCTGCCCATTGGACGGTGGAAACCTGAGGAGAGACCGGCAGAACTCACTCCATACCTTGGAGACGAACTGAGGTCCTCTGACACTATGTCCAGGGGGATACCATGGAGGTGTGACACGTGCTGGACGAGGAGATCCGCGGTCTCACGAGCTGTGGGTAACTTGGGCAGAGCGACAAAGTGTACAGACTTGGAGAAGCGGTCTACTATGGTGAGTATGGTGTTGTTATCATGTGAAGGAGGAAGACCGGTGACGAAGTCTAGGGCGATGTGAGACCATGGTTGACCCCGCACGGACAAAGTGTGTAGCTCGCCGAAGGGGGGGGGGCGATGGGAGGATTTTCCCCGGGCGCAGACTGCGCAGGCTGACACAAACTCCTGAGCATCGGCCTCCATGGTGGGCCACCAGAAGCTCCTCTTAAGCAAGGACAGGGTTCTCTGAAAACCGGGGTGGCAGGCAAAACGGGAGTTGTGGATCCACTGCAGAAACTGAGAGAGGACAGGATCGGGTACAAACAAACAGTTAGCAGGACCGTTACCTGGGTCCGGATGGGAGCGTTGGGCCTCCTTGATGGCTGACTCAATCTCCCAGGAAATGGCCGCCACCACACAGCTAGCAGGGAGGATGGTGTCTGGGTCGGAGGCGTCCATGGGGGAGTGGAACATCCTGGAGAGGGCATCAGGCTCAACGTTCCGGGAGCCGGGTCTGTAAGTCAGAATGAAATTAAATCGACCAAAAAAACAATGCCCAACGTGCCTGGCAAGAGTTGAGCCTCTTAGCGGTTTGAATGTAGGCGAGGTTCTTATGGTCTGTCCAAACAATGAAAGGTTGCTCTGTGCCCTCTAGCCAGTGTCGCCACTCCTCTAGTGCTAGTTTGATTGCTAGGAGTTCCCGGTCTCCAACGTCGTAATTCCTTTCAGCAGGGGTCAGACGACGAGAGAAGGCGGCGCAGGGATGCATTCTCTGACTGGAGCCAGAGCGCTGGGACAGCATGGCCCCCACCCAGCTGTCAGATGCATCCACCTCGATGATAAACTGTCTTGAGGGATCTGGGTGTACTAAGATGGGAGCAGAGGTAAACAGGGATTTGAGCTTGTTGAAGGCAACCTGGGCCTCAGGTGGCCAGGAGAAAGGTGTCTTGGTGGATGTGAGTCTGGTTAGGGGGGCTGCGACCTTACTGTAGTCCTGGATGAACCGTCGGTAGAAGTTGACGAACCCAAGAAATTGTTGCAGCTGCTTGCGGGATTCTGGAACTGGCCACCCAACCACTGCCTGGATCTTGGTTGGGTCTGCCTGCAACTGCCCCTGCCTGATGATGTAACCCAGGAAGCTCACAGAACTGGAGTGGAATTCACACTTCTCAGCCTTAACATATAACCTGTTCTCAAGCAGCCGCTGGAGAACTTGACGGACGTGGGAAACATGCTCAGAGACATCTTTGGAAAAGATCAAGATATAGTCCGGGTAGACAAACACAAACCGGTTCAGGAAATCACGAAGAACATCGTTAACCAAATTCTGGAAAACTGCAGGTGCATTGGTTAGGCCAAAATGCATTACCTGGTACTTGTATTGGCCGAGCGGGGTGCTGAACGCAGTTTTCCATTCATCTCCCTCCTTGATGCGCACCAAGTGGTAGGCGTTGCGAAGGTCCAACTTAGTGAAGACCTTGGCCTTCTGTAGGGGTTCGAAAGCAGAGTTCATTAGCAGCAAAGGGTACTTATTCTTGATGGTTATATTGTTGAGGCCTTGGTAATCAATACAGGGCCTAAGAGACTTATCCTTCTTGGCCACGAAGAAGAAGCCTGCACCTACGGGAGATGAGGAAGGGCGGATCAAATCAGTCTTGAGGGAGTCATGGATGTAGGTTTCCATGGCCTCCCTCTCCTGGCAAGACAGGTTGTAGAGTCTGCTGGAAGGGAGAGGGGCCCCGGGGAGTAGGTTGATCTTGCAGTCATATGGACGATGGGGCGGAGAGACAGCGCCAGATCCTTACTGAATACTCCTTTCAGATCTAGATATTCAGAGGGAACTCCAGACAATTCCGGGGATTCAGCGTCTAGTAGGGGGGTGGCCTCCCCGGTAGGGTGACGTGCGGATTGGAGACAGGAGGAGGAGCAATGTGTGCTCCAGCCCAGGATCTGGCCAGTGACCCAGTCAATATGGGGATGGTGTAGTTTGAGCCAAGGAAATCCTAGAATGATGGGGATCCGAGGGGCGGCGATAACATGAAACCGGATGTCCTCGTGGTGATTCCCGGATAACACTAACCTAAGGGGTCTCGTAGACTCAGTGACTCGGATTAGGATGCGTCCATCACGGCTTGGGCAGTGTTGGGTTCAGGGAGAGGTTCTAGCGGAAAGTTGGATTGAATGGCCAAATTCTTATCAGTGAAATTCCCTTCGGCGCCGGAATCAATAAAGGCTTGGAGGGACAGGGAGATCGAGGGGGTGCATAAGGTGGCCAGGATGGACAACCGTTGAGGAGCGTGTGTGGGGCCAAGGGGTCAACTCCTCAGTATGCCAACGCCTACCGAGGAGTCCGACCTTTTGGCCGAACCGGGCACGAAGGAACAAAATGGCCCTTGGTGCCACAATAAAGGCACTCACCCTGGCTTCGTCTGCGGGTTTGTTCCTCCGGTGTTAACCGAGCCCTGCCCAGCTGCATGGGTCCAGGTAAGGAGCTGGAAGGGGGTTGAGGCTCGGAGGGAACGGTAGGAAACAAGGGAGGGTCCCTGGTAGCTGGGAATTAGAGGAGGGTCGGGCTGAACGTTCCTTCCGGTGTTCCCGCAGGCGGTTGTCCAGTCTAATAGACAGGGAGATCAGAGAGTTCAAATCGTTGGGCTCGTCTCGTGCCGCTAACTCATCCTTAAGTGTCTCATTAAGCCCTTTTCTGAAACCCCCCCTGTAGTGCCGCATCATTCCAACCGGAGTCCGGTAAAACCCTA